ATGATTTTTTAACAAAAATGTTTTGATGGTATTAAAACCTATTTTTACACGTTTTGACCCGAATTTGGGGGTGAACTATTTACCCAAAGCTGTCATTGTAACAGGTGCTACCACTCCGGGTCTGAGTGGACATGGGAACACCACGCTCCTCAAAACCTTGCTGCCGGATGTAGTTTATCGTCTTACCCAGGACGCGGATGTAGTTTATCGTCATACCCAGAACGGGTTAATATATTTGATTCACAAACATTTGATAAATTCTATTCTCGTTGTTATACCTTTATTTTTTTTTATTATTTTATTTTATTATTTTGTATTAAAAAAAAATGTTTTTGTTTTTTTTAATTCCGTTATTTTGTGAGAGTGTCATGCGTTAAAATAACTTAAACATTCGTGTGATCTCTGATATATATATATTTTTTTATGTGTGCGTATAATTTTTTAACGGGATGGTCATTTGTTAATATTTTTTTCTGTTTTTTTTTTTATTTCTTATATCATTTTTTTTGGGGGGGGCGGAATTAATTTTCTTGAACATCGAATCGTTTGACACTGACTTTTTTTTTTCGCGGTTTCCGTTGTAAATATAAACAGACGCCAAGTCTCTTCTGAACTCCAGAATATTTCTTAGGATTCTCGCTCCAATAAGTACACATGATTACGTTGAGCTTGTAGAGTTTTTTTATACTGGGAGTATCTGCCGACTTTCCCATACAAGACAAAATTTTTCCCTCAACATTCCAATGCAGTCTTCATTATTCTTTCACTTTCTAATAGATAATGTTATTTTCGTAATGATTTCACAGCTTTAGAATTCGTTTTTTGGGGTTTTTTTTTCTTTTTGATTTATGTTTTTTTAACTTTATACAAAGACGTTCGAAAATGTTCAAATGATTAGTAGAATTTTCACCTTCAAGTTTAACATTTTTCCTGCTTTTTAGCAGGGATTTTATTTCCTTCTTTTTTTAGCTTTTCATTTTCTTTCATTTTACTCATCATCAACATTATTATTATTATTATTATTATTATTATCATTATTATTATTATTATTATTATTAAATTCTATGTCTTCTTAAATTGTTAAACGCTGTCTTTTCTTTTTCTTTTTTAAATCGCCCTCTTATGGAAGTGTAAAATATTGACAAATTTACCCCAATTACTTAGTTTATTATTATTATTATTATTATTATTATTATTATTATTACTACTACTACTACTATTATTATTATTATTATTATTATTATTATTATTATACTTCCTTTGGTTTCTGACGTATACTCATTTCACTCCGGGTCCCGACCAGAGGCCTAAGGTCAGAAATGCCATCATGACATTTTGCACCAAGCAGTTTTGAAAAATATTATTATTATTATTATTATTATTATTATTACCAGTAGTAGTAGTAATAGTTACTAACTGATTGTTCTTGCCGGTTGTAACTGATGGCCTACATTGTAGGACAAGTGACAGCAAGTCTTTTCCGTGTTCCCGTATTCTTCTTAGCTGTCGTCTGGATAGCTCTGACTATTTCCCTGATTTCCATCTATCCTCCAGCCTTTTTACTAATCTCTTCGGTACCGTTCCTAGTGCTCCGATATCCACTAGAACCACTGGCACTTTCATCTCCCTGGAAAGATCGAGATACTCGTCTATCTATTCATTCGTATCTATTATTATTATCATCATTATTATTATTATTATTATTATTATTATTATTATTGAGCGAGTGAGTTGGACATCGACAAAGCGACGCTTCGCACGACATTTTCTACAAGAGTTAGTTCCCGAATGACCTAATAATCAGTCTTTCTTTTTATCTCGATAAGTCAGTCTTTTTCGTTTTTTGTTGTTTTTTTTTAATCGTTTGTTTTATGAGGTATTTATTTGTTCATTATATTTGATTTTTTTTTTAGCTTATTTTTTAAATTTATTCTCCACCCTGATCCAACAAAAAAAAAAGGATCCTGGGATTAATATCGGTACTCTTTTGATTATAGGAACAACTGCCATTTATATATCATAACTTGCTCTTCTTTCACTTCTTCTTGAATTATTATCATCATTATCATCATCTTCATTATTATTATTATTATTATTATTGTTATTATTATTATTATTATTATTATTATTCCTTCACTCTTATTTATGCAAAGGTCTTCTTCAGCTATTGTTTCAATGTCAAAGCTATTTGTTAGATTTTTTCCTTTGCTTTTATTTATTTATTTATTGTTTACATATTGTTTACAGAGATAAAAGTATTTCATGATCGTTCCCAGTGCTCAGGCGACAGTCGGGATTACTTATATTCAGTAGTTCGTTTTGTTTTTACTGCTACTATTAATAGTAATAATAATCATAATAATCATAATAATAATAATAATAACAGAACATACAAGTGGCAACCATGCTAGTGTCTATCGGAGATCTGCGGACGGTTCCGAAGAGCCTTGAAAAAATGGAAATAGAATGGAAATCAAGGAATGGTCAAGACTATCCAGATGACAGCATTACCGAAAACATTTGGAATAGGAAGAATATAAAAGTGTTAATGAGATTTGCTGTCACTTAATCTCAAGTGCAAACCCTTATTCATCGAGTAAGCAACATCAGTATTAATAATAATAATAATAATTATATCCACTCCAAGCCAAAAGAACGGAACACATTTTCATGAAAAAAAAAAAAAAAATGTCAAATAATGGAGTCAGATATTCTCGCAGATTACTGGCTGTCATTAAAAGAAAGCGAAAAGCTGGATAAATATCTGGAGCTCACCAGAGACATGAAGAAGTTATGGAATATAAAGGTGACAGTTGTACCAGTCGTTGTTAGAGCACTGGGAATAATCTCGGGATGCCTAGCGAAAAGTCTAGAGGAAGTTGAAATACATGAAAGAATAGAGCACTTAGACGACGGTACTGCTAAAAACGGCTCCGAATACTGGGGAAAATATGAGAGTAGTGAGGAGACTTGTTGTCGCATGATCTCCAGCGTAAATCATCTGCTGTTACTAATGTAAAAATCCAGCGAGTGAATAATAATAATAATAATAATAATAATAATAGAAATCTCGAAAATGTGGCATATGGGAACATCAACAATCCCTGTTGTAGTTAGAGCCCTAGGACTGGTTGGAAAAGATTGCAGTAGACTAATTGAAGGGATTCCTGGAAGTCCATGCCTCAAGGAGATACAAAAAAATTGTTCTGACAAGTACAGCCCACACATTACGAAGGGCTTTATGTAATTTTTTTTTTTTTTTTTTTTTTTGTTAGTGGAAAGTTGTCATGATGCCATTTCTTACCTTAGGTCTCTGGGCGGGACCCGGAAAGAAATGTGTAAACGCCAGAAATCAAAGAAAATAAAAATAATAATAATATTAATAATAAATATAGATTTGGAGTCATTCAGTTTTCAGAGATAACTACCATGAATCTCGTAATAACGAACATGTTTTTTTTTTCTTCTTTTTTTTATGTGTTTTTCTTGTCCGTTTGTGTCGATTCGAGATTTCTGTCGGTGTAATCAGGGCTGAACAATGCGTCAAGCAAAAGCAAAAGAGGTACAAAGAAATATGGTAAATAGAACGATGCCAATAGAATTCGTTGTCTCAGAGTCTGCGGCCCTTCATAGGACAGGCGTGAGTCGGCGAAGTTATCGAAATTGTAAGTTATAATATGGTAGATTATGGGCATCACACTGGTGCAGGCATGGGTGGAGTACACGACTGCCGGTAGACGGATCCACGGGCATTTGCGGGCTCCCCGTCGGAAGGCATGCGCAGCGACAAAGAAGAAGGGTAACTGGAGAAAAATCTCGCTGAAAAGGAAGATTTCGTACCATTTCGGGGCTTGGAGAAGATAAGGGTCGCGCATTGTGCGACAGTAGAATTTCAGAAGATTGCTCAATGTGGACGGATATAACCACGAAGGTAGCAAAAATTGTGAATCAAAGAAAACTGTGATTACAATGTGCGATACAAAGTAAAAAAAGAAGAAAATATCTCGCGTCCGGCGCATGTCGTCTGGTTTCTTCAATTTTTTTTTCCTACAGTTTTTGTGACGAATTTTGTGACGATTTTTGTGACGATTTTTGTGACGTTTTTTTTTTCTTTTCTTCTTTTTTTTTCTTTTTCTTTCTTTCTTTCTTTTAAATATTTTTTTTTTTCCTACGAAACTTTTTCGGGGGTTGTTTGAATTTTTTAGGTTAGAGCGCGTATTTTTTTTTAATTTTTTCTTTACCTTTTTTTTTTTTTGTATTTCCTTCTTGTTCTTCTAGACTTTAGGGGTAGTTTGAACTTGTTATATATGTTCCCCCTTTTTTTTCTTTTTTTTTTTTAAATAATTCTTTTTTTTTCCCTTAACCTTGTAAAATTTTTATCGAGTAAGCTTTCCGAATTACAACTTTTATCTATTTATGAAGTGATTGACGTTGTCTGTCGTTCACTGTAGTTTGTGATGTGTAACTTCAGCTTAGGGTCATCTTTCGGGACAGTTAATATTAAAAAGCACACACACACACACACACACACACACACGTGCACACACACACACGTGCACACACACACACACGTGCACGTAATCTTTTCCCTTCCTTTCTTTCTTTCTTTCTTTCTTTCTTTCTTTCTTTCTCGATCTTTCGATGTTTTTTCTATCTATCAACCAAACTCTGCTTTCCTTCCCTTTCTCTTTCTTTCGATATCGATACCTCCCTCTCGACATGCCCTTTTCTTTCTCGCTTTCTTTTCCACAGACGCCCACGTTGCACAGGGACACTCCGTCATATCTATATTATAAACATTCCCTTTCTAACTAGATCTGGGCACTCCGCGTGCTGTAGTGGTTAGTAAAGTGGGTACAAAGTCACAATGGAGTTCAGTTCCTGTAACAAGCTAAGCAACACCTATTAAATAGCACTTGACAAAACACCAATACACCTACACACACGCACAAACACGTACACACTCAAACCAGGTAAAGGAATATAGTGATAACAGAAAGAGTAAACAAAATAAGAAACACCATCAAAGATTATTCAATATACTATTAGGAATGAACAAAAGTTTATTAACCCTTTAAGCCATGCGTTCCTTAACAATTTTAACCCTTCTGCCTGAGCTCCTGAATCAAAATTCGCAAATAATTGGTATGTAAGGTTTGACGGTAGATATTAAAAATAGTTACAAGTGTTTAACCATCGGTCAACCGGTGGCTGGACATTAAGTCATTTTTTTCTCTACTACTGTTCAACCGGTAGCTGAGCATTACGCCATTTTTTTTTCTACCACCGGTAAAGAGGTGGTTAGTGCTCGAAGGGTTAAACGAAAATGAAATAGATGGAAAGGATAAAAGATAACTGTTTTAGGAAAGATCAACTACACACACACACACACACACACACACACACACATACAAATGAATTTCTGTAAACAAACACAGATAGATAGATAGATAGATAGATAGATAGATAGATAGATAGATAGATAGATAGATAGATAGATAGATAGATAGATAGAAAAATAGAAGATTACAAGAAAATGAAATCTGCCGTGAGTGTCGATGATTTTGTCATTCCTTATGTATCCTCAAACACACACAACTTTATAGATAGATAGATAGATAGATAGATAGATAGATATATATATAGATAGATAGATAGATAATGAACAGATATAGATATGAATAAACAGAAAGAAAAGAAAAAGAAAGAAAGAGAAAAAAAAAGAAAAGAAAGAAAGACAAAGGAAAGAACAGAAGGATGTCTGCATGCGTAAACGCATATTAACACGAACACAGATAGATAGATAGATAGATAGATAGATAGATAGATGGATTCATGCATGCATGTGTGCGTATATAAATGAATATACGTGCGTGTGTGCCAATAAATTTGGATATATATGTGCTTTTGATTTAGATAATTTCCTAACTCATCGACAGTCTCATGTCACCTCTCTATCTCTTTGTCATTCCTTATGTATCTATCAAGCTACACACACATATATATATATATATATATATATATATATATATATATATATATATATATATTATTGTTATTGTCATTAATGAATAATATGAACCATTTTGTTACACAACCTTTGTCCATTTTTCCTTCAACTTAAACATTACATCTTCCTAGAATTTCGTTGGTTTCTCGGAGAACACATGAAGGTATTTTTTTTTATATCCCCCAAATAATTAAAATTTCTACCATTGAAATTATTTTGCAAGGATCTGAATAAATGAAAATCCGAAGGAGCAATGTCTGGCGAATATGACGGGTAGGTTAACACATGCCAGCCAGGCTGGAATAATTTTTGTCGGTTCGCCAAAGAAACGTGAGGCCTGACGCAAAACAACGCCTTTTCTGTTCGACAATTCTAGACATTTTTCTTAAATTGCTGTATTTAATTCGTCCAGTTGCAAGCAGAACTTTTCAGAACCAATTGACTAGTTCTTGGCAGAAGCTCATAGTACAGGATTGCTTTCCAATCTCACCAGATGCACAGCATGACTTTCTTAGGATGAAGAGCTGTTTTTAGGTGGCTAAAGTTAGCACATATCGCTTACCCCAGGATCTTTTTCGCTGAACATTGTTGTAAGCGATTCATTTCTCATTGCCCGTCAAAATTAGCTTAAAAAAAGGGAGCATTTTCATTGCGTTTATACAGCAAATCACAAAAGAAATGCGATCCAAAAGATTCTTTTCACACAGATGATGTAGTACCCAAACATCGTAGCGATTTGAGTACCCAAGCTTCACTTAGTCGATTTTTTTTTAAAATTTAGCCTTTCTGCTATTTCCCGCATTGTGTAATGCGGGTTATTCTAAATCAATGTCTTGATTCGGTCGTCATCTATAGTGGAGTGGGGGGGGGGGATCTGCCTAAGCGCCATTCATAAATAAGTCTACAATCACCAAATCTAAACTTAGCGAACCACTTCTGTACAGTTCTGTCAGCTAAAGCACCTTCACCGTAAATAGCACATATCTTTTCTTTTCTTTTTTTTTTTTTTTGCTGGCTAGGCATTTTTGCCTTCACGGTAAAAAAACCATCAAGTGTCTAAAATGCACCTTATAATCTTCCATCTTCATAGGGGTGCAAAATTGACACGAATTAAGTAATTCTTTCTCAAGTGATAGTTTGAAGTGTGCTCTAATCAGTAATGTAAGCATATTATATCTGTCGATGAATATGACGTGTTCTAGAGTGTTGGATCATGAACTTTTTGGACAACCCAATATTTTATCTTTGGTTTTCCTAATACTTGAACAAGCTTTCAAGTTCGCAGAATTGGGCAGATTGACTAGATTTTTATTGGTAATTTAAACTCTGCATAAACGGGAAACCACTCTATACTTTCTCCAGGAACTGTATCGGCATTTAACAGATATATAAAAAAATTTAAATAAAAAAAACAGAGAGAAAGAGAAAACGTTAAAGAAAACATGGGGACTATAGCGACGTGTAAGGCCTGAAGTGGTAAGTAAGGATTTGTTTCCCTCATTGATTTTAATATTAATCCTATAACATTTCTTATTACCTGAAATCGTTTTTAATGGTGTATGCAGAGACTCATTACTTTAAACGATGTTTAATAGGCTACACAGATTCTTATTACATTAAACGAAGTTTAATAGCATATTCAGATTCTTATTACTTTAGACTGTCTTTAAGGGGCACGTTGTTTCGAACTCTGTTGGAAGGGACATTATCTTCATTAAGACTCTCGAATGTATAGACCGGTAGACGTACATTTACATCTTTTTAAATTCCCAGACACGTATATCCACTAAGTATAACAGAAAGTAATGAAAGAATACACACACACACACACACACACACACACATACATATATATATATATATATATATATAACTTCAAATATTACTTTTAGAGGATACCCGTCATATATATATATATATATATATATATATATATATATATATATATATATATATATATAACTTCAAATATTACTTTTAGAGGATACCCGTATTTGAGCACAGGCTGGCAGATGTAATACACACTGTTAAAAAAAAAAAAAAAAAAAACGGGACGTCTATTCAAATACGGGCATCTACAAAAACTAACATCTCAAGTAGTCATTGCGACAGCTCGGTCTCACATTGTCTGCTGACCTAAGATGGAACAAATACATTGAGTCAATAGCTTCGTCCACCGCAAGAAAAGATGGCTCCCTGTGCCGCGCCAGGAAATTATTTTCCTCACCGGAGTTGATCCTTCAAATCTACAAGTCAACCATTCGCCTTGCATGGAGTTTTGCTGACATATATGGTCTGGAGCCGCTTCTGTTTGTCTCAAGGTCCTTGATAAAATCCAGAGACGGATATGCAATATAATCTGGCATCTCGTCTGCAGCTGCTCTTTCACAGACGTGCCGTTGCCTCCCTCTGTCTTTTATACAAATACTTTCACGGTAACTGCTCCGAGGAGCTGCTTTCGCTGGTTCCTAGACTTCAGGAATTTAAGCGTTCAACTAGGCTGGCATCTGGCTCACACCCTTTCACTATTGAAACTGTTAAATATAGCCGCCTCTTCTACTCCAATAGCTTCATGTCTCGCGCCTCTCGCCTGTGGAACTCCCTCCCCTTTTCCTATTTCCCTGATAGCTATAATCTCCAACTATTCAAATGTAATGTTAATCAACGTCTCCAGATGCCCTGATCTATTCCCTATCATTCTCTTCATCCTTTCCTCTATCACTCTTATTCGCTCTTGTTCCAATTCTCTGTAACCCCTTGCGTGATAGTGGCTTCTCGCCTTGCTTGGGGTGAAACACTTAAAAAAAAATCTATGTGCGTATTATCTCATTACTTTACGTTGTATTTAATTGAAGTAATAAAAATATCGGATTTAAAATACATCCCTTAATTCTTTATATATAAATATAATTATATAAATATAATTAAGAAACAAGTTGAAAAAAAAACTTCATAAACTTAGTATTTTCGTATTTGTCCGCTATTTAATCATTTTGTCACATTTAATCCATATATTCAACTGATATATATATTCGTGTGTGTGTGTTTGAATAGCGTCCTTAAAAGATTATAATTTATCGTCAGTCACGTACGCACGAACATTGGCCTTATATTCACTTTCTCTAACGCTATTTCTTTCTCTCTATCTGTTTCCCACCTCTTTTATACGTAACCACCTACACCCACACACACGCACATATATAAGCGTACTACACATACTGATAGCACATTGCTTTGCGCAATGGCAAGGAAAAGGGGACAAACACATACATAGTCATTCAGACATACAAATACGATACGTTTTCAATACACACACTCGTAAACACATTAACAGAAAAAAGCTCGCGCGCACACACACACACACGCATGCATACATACCTACATATAGGATAATGATATGTAATTTTTTTTATATCGAGAACAATTTTAGTGGAAAGAAATATGACAAAGTGGTAAACATTTGTCATACTCCTAATTTAAGTTAAGCAATGTGAAAACTGGCCAGTGTCTAAATGAGTTACCGCTTTGAAATACCAGATGCTGTAAGCTTGGGTGTTCGCATGGTTTAATAGATAACGGCTCGAAATTGGAAACAGGAGAGCCGTGTTCCAATTCCAGTCGGGTTCGTTATATTCATTTACGCACAAATACCCGTGGGAAAGATATGAATTCACCTTTTTTCTCCCCAGCTATGGGTTAATTAGCAGTACTTGTATCAGTAAGTCATTATTATCGTCAAAATATTCTGAAAATCTAAAATTATTTCTGGCTTTAAATAACCTGTAAAGGTTGATAATTCATAAAAAACAAATTAATCGTGAACATGTGCATATTTTTCTATTTTGACAGACTGACAAATACATATAGACATGTTAAATAATCTTATGGTTGTACACAAGTAAATATATATATATATGTGTGTGTGTGTGTGTGTATCTGTCTATATTTCTGAGAAGAGGTATTATGTACACTATTTACATTGTTCAGACTATCATCCCCATCTTTGTTGCCATATTTATCACAACGTTTCGGCCGTTGTACGCTCCGGCCGTCTTCAGGTGGTTGGAATGTCGAACTGAACCCTTTATTCCGCTCGCTGGAGTAGACTGTTCTAGTTCGACGTGCCATGTCTAATGGATGTCAGTTATCAGTTATCTCCTGTTAATTCCCCTCTCTATATGCTATATTTCTGGGATAAAGTGCTCAATATAAGAGATAGAGGCGTGTGTAAATATAAAAGTGAACATAGAAGTCAACACTTAGAGGCGACAGTGTTTTATGCTAGATGCAATCCTCAGGCCTGAGGATTGCATCTCATGAAAACATGAACTGTCGCCTTTTGTTGACTATATTATATTATATATATATATATATATATATATATATATATATATATATATATATATATATATGTTAAGAAATGGACGAGGTCCGACAATTTATTTATTAAAGACATTTTTTATTTATGTTTAACGTTGTTATTTTATAGATACAAGTATTTAAGCAAATGCTCTGTTTATGATAAACAGTATTAAATAACAGGCCGGTAAATGTTATTTAATACTGTTTATCATAAACAGAGCATTTGCTTAAATACTTGTATCTATAAAATAACAACGTTAAACATAAATAAAAATGTCTTTAATAAATATATATATATATATATAGTTGGATTGATGTGAGTTTGTGACGCTGGGTTTCACGCTTTTGCGATCGTCAGACAAATTTCACATATATATTCATTTATATTTATATACACACACTTTTCACACACACACACACACACACACACACACACACACATATATATATATATATATATATAGCGATAACAAAGATGATGCGAAGCGAGAAATGCTGTCAATCAGTGGAATTCATTTAAGGCAACCATTATTTGCAATATCAGGCACAGATCATTAATTGGATTAATACAAATATAAAATTTGTCGCTTAGTTCATTTTTCTCCATTTACTATTTTCTTTCTGATTTTTACCATTGCTTCTGCCTTTCTTTTTTTTTTTAAGTTTTTCGCTTGTTTCTTTCTTTCTTTTTCCTTCTTTTTTCTTCTTTCTTTCCTTCATTTCTTTCGTTCGTTTGTTCCTGCTTACACTCTTTCTTCCTTTCGTTCTATCCTCACTTACTTCTTTACTTTCTGCTTTCTTCAGTCATTCATTGATTCTTTCTTCCTTTCTTTTATTTATTCTATTTTTTTTTCTTTCCTTGTTTCATTCTGTCTATTTTATTTCGTTTGTACAATTCTTTCTTTCTTTGTTTAATACATTTTGTTCTTTCTTTCCTTCTTTTCTTTCTTCCTTCCTCCTTCCTTCTTATTTCTTTCTTTCTTTCTTTCTTTCTTCCTTCCTCCTTCCTTCCTTATTTCTTTTCTTTCTTTCTTCCTTCCTCCCTTCCTTCCTTATTTCTTTCTCTCTTTCTTTCTTTCTTTCTCTCTTTCTTTCTTTCTTTCTTTCCTTCTTTCTTTCTTTCTTCCTTCCTCCCTTCCTTCCTTATTTCTTTCTTTCTTTCTTTCTTTCCTCCTTTTCTTTCTTCCTTCCTCCTTTCCTTCCTTATTTCTTTCTTTCTTTCTTCCTTCCTCCCTTCCTTCCTTATTTCTTTCTCTCTTTCTTTCTTTCTTGCTTTCTCTCTTTCTTTCTTTCTTTCTTTCCTTCTTTCTTTCTTTCTTCCTTCCTCCCTTCCTTCCTTATTTCTTTCTTTCTTTCTTTCTTTCTTTCTTTCCTCCTTTTCTTTCTTCCTTCCTCCTTCCTTCCTTATTTCTTTCTTTCTTTCTTCCTTCCTCCCTTCCTTCCTTATTTCTTTCTCTCTTTCTTTCTTTCTTGCTTTCTCTCTTTCTTTCTTTCTTTCTTTCCTTCTTTCTTTCTTTCTTCCTTCCTCCCTTCCTTCCTTATTTCTTTCTTTCTTTCTTTCTTTCTTTCCTCCTTTTCTTTCTTCCTTCCTCCCTTCCTTCCTTATTTCTTTCTTTCTTTCTTCCTTCCTCCCTTCCTTCCTTATTTCTTTCTCTCTTTCTTTCTTTCTTGCTTTCTCTCTTTCTTTCTTTCTTTCTTTCCTTCTTTCTTTCTTTCTTCCTTCCTCCCTTCCTTCCTTCCTTATTTCTTTCTTTCTTTCTTTCCTCCTTTTCTTTCTTCCTTCCTCCCTTCCTTCCTTATTTCTTTACTCTTCTTTTCGTTTTTAGTTCTTTGCTTCTCTATTTCTTTACTTTCATTTGTTTCTTTATTTCTTCCTTTCTGCCTTCCTTCCTTGCTTCTTTCTTTCTTTCTTTCTTTCTTTCCTTCTTTCTTTCTTTCTTTCATTCCTTCTTTCTTTCTTTCTTTCTTTCTTTCTTTCTTTCTGCCTTCCTTTCTTGCTTCTTTGTTTTTTTTCTTTTATTTCGCCCCTTCATTTCTTTTCTTTTCATTAATATATACCTTTCTTTCTTTCTTTCTTTCTTTCTTTCTTTCTTTCTTTCTTTCTTTCTTTCTTTCTTTCTTTTCTCTTTCTTTCTTTCTTTCTTTCTTTCTGCCGTCCTTCCTTGCTTCTTTGTTTTTTTTTCTTTTATTTCGCCCCTTCATTTCTTTTCTTTTCATTAATATATACCTTTCTTTCTTTCTTTCTTTCTTTCTTTCTTTCTTTCTTTCCTTTCTTCCTTTTTCTTTCTTTCTTTCTTTCTTTCTTTCTTTCTTTCTTTCTTTCTTTCTTTCTTTCTCTCTTTCTTTCCTTCTTTCTTTCTTTCTTTCCTTCATTCTTTCTTTCTTTCTTTCTTTCTCTCTTTCTGTCGTTCTCTCTTTCTTTCTTTCTTTCTTTCTTTCTGTCTTTCTTTCTTTCTTATTGGTTCTGTTATATTTTAACTTCGCTTACGTTCACTTTGTTATTCATTATCTGATCAATTTTCTTTTTACGATGACAAGATATCAGCATTTTTCCTGACTTCTCTGATCTATTTGAACTTCAAAGTACCACTGAATATAGCTCATTGATGGCATATTCAGTATTCCAACTGCAAAGTTTCGTAGACGAATCTTTGCATAATCTATAGGTCCACTCGTCAGGAGGAAATAGCAAATGTCTGCCGATTTTCTCATTCTCATTTTCGTGTTTGTGTGGGTATATAAATTTTCATGGGCGAATTTTGAATACCTGAATAGAAAAAGCTATGTATCGTGTATGAAATTTTATTTTATGGTCTTTTTTTCTCTCTACTTATCGAAAGCTGAAAGAATGCAAAAAAGAAGTTGATATAAGCATTCTTACTAAATTTTAAGTACAATCGGAAATATTTGCGTTTAAAAATGTTCTTTGTTTTGTGAAAAATTTATGTCGCTATAAAAATAGCATTGCCTTTTTTGGGTCGTTAAAAAAATATTCCAAAATTCATCTAGTTATTGGATTTGAATGAAACTTTTAGTATTTATGTAAAAGAGAATATATTTCCTTTAAAGTACTCTCTTTTTAACTTATTTTTTTTTTTTTAGTATGATTACACCCATTTTTAATTTTTTTAATTTGGTAATTTTTCATTTTGTATGTATCTAGAGGAATTACTTTAGTGTTTACACTTTTTAAAAAATGAGTATTTAGAAGTGGGCACGGTGAAGTAATGGAAAAACGACTCGAATTGTAAAATAGGAAAGCCGAGTTCGAATTCCAGTCGAATTCATTGCATTCGCTTTTGTGCTAACACCCTGGGGAAAGATATGAATCTTCTTCCTCTCAAGTTATGAATAGATAGCAGGACAAACTGGATTCTACAGCTTTGGATGGCAACGGGTCTACCGCCAAATGAAATGGCAACCTACTGCAGGGAAAAAATCTGCCTCGTCAGTCATGTATCGAAAGATACATGATCGCCTAAGCTTGAATCACGCATGGAACATAATTGATTTGAATTTTTTTTCTTTCTTTTAAGCATTTCCCACCAAGCAAGACGGGGATGCCACTAGCACACAAATGGTTACAGAGAGAGGAAGCAAGAGTAAAGAGGCGTGAAAGAAGAAATGATGAAGAGAAGGACGGGGAATTAGATCAAGGCATCTGGAGATATCGATTGATATTTCATTTGAATATTTGGAGATTATAGCTATCACGGAACCAAGTAAGAGGAAGGGAGTTCCAAAGACGGGAAGCGCGAGAGAAGAAGCTATTGAAGTAGAAGAGACGGCTACGTTTCGACAGTGGGTGGGACTGAAATGCCAACCTAGTAATAAATTCATGCAGATTGGGAACCAGCGAAAGTAGCTCGTCGGAACAATTACCGTGAAAATATTTGTAGAAAAGACAGAGGGAAGTGACGGTACGTCTGTGAAAGAGCGACTATAAACGAGATGCCAGATCAGGGGCAATCACATTGGATTTCCGTCTATGGATATGCAATGCTGAAGAAAAAAAAATGAAAGATGGAACCCAAGAGAAAAAATCGATACAAATGTCTTCGTCTTTAATTTTTAAAATTAGAAATAAATTAAATATGGTCTTTTTTTTATTTTCTAAGTCAAGTGTTTGTTATGGTCCGGTTCCTTGTACCACGGTGATAGTCCAAGGTAGAACCAATAAAGAAGAACTCGAACTCAGGTATGGAATAAAACAGATATATTACAAACAGGAATATATACAGAGAAGTAGAAGTGTTAGTATGAACACTCAGGTTTAGTAGAGAGAACAATGTAGTCTCGACCAGTATCACTATTCCAATGTCTTGCCGTAATTGTCTGAACGCGACTCTGTTTCGGACTGCCTCTGACTCGACTCTTGACTCGACTTGACCTACTGACTCTAACTACCGACTCCTTGCCTACTCCTGAGGCGCAGTATTAATTAAGTATGGAATACTCCATTATTATTATTATTATGGGTGAGATCCCATAACAGTGTTATAACAAGAAAGTTACATGTTTTTAGAGATTTATTTGTAATCTTCTATAATATTGATTTACTGAGGTAATATCTTTAAAAGTCATTATTGATTCTTCCAAAAGGTGTGCCCCTAAGAGGATTAATTTTTTAAAAAGACTTGATCGCTTTTAATTCTTCTTTCTTTTTATATGCTATCTCCTTTCAGTACGTAGGCGATCATGGCTCTCCACTTTCCCCTATTCCTTGTAACTCACAATAAGTTTCGTCCTTCTGCCACCTCCCCCAGAGCACGTTCTGTCATCCACTGGCTTAAGCCGGCCAGGTATGTCATGCGTTGCTTTCCCTTGTCTCTCTTTCCTTCTGTTTGACCTGTGAGTATCAGATTCTCCAGGCTCTCCTTTCTCATTACGTGTCCCAAAATTGCATCTGCCTGTTTCTTATGTTAAGTATAAGCCTCCTCCTTGTTTGCATCCTCTATAAGACCTCATCGTTGCTCACACGCTCCCTCCGTGATATCCTTAGCATCCTTCTGTAGAACTGTCTCGAGTCTCTTCTTCATCTTTGAAGAGACCGTCTAACATTTGCTGCCGTATAGGACGACTTATGTCACGTAGCTGTTCAGTATTCCTTTCTTTTCTTCTATTTTATTAAATACCGTAAATTGAAGCGTACAACATTCGAAATTCTGAGTTAAGCCTACACCCACCGTAGAGATCAACCATCAAACATAAGGTAGCCCAAACCTTAGGCCTAAATGAAGTTATGCTACAATGTACGATAACCTGCACCAAAACTATATATGGTCACATCACTTTCTATATGCATTGTACAGCAAACAGCCGATAAACACAAACTGGTAGGTACTGTATATTTTATCGGTATAACTTAACGAACATTTAAAATTCGTCAGGTCTACTGATAAAAACATTAAAGACAACATCAATTCCAATAAATATTAATAGTGTAGATTATACATCAAGCCATGCAGTATTTTGCTGCATGATTGCTAAAAGTGCTGTCCACTTGTTTACAACTCAGTGGTAACGGGTTGCATTTTATATCGGCCGTATAAGTCGACCTCTAGTTTTGGAAATATTTTTTTAGGTTTGAAAGCTCGAATTGTTTGGTGTAGTGTACAGTAGATATACAAAGACAGTGAGAAAATATTCTTAAATTTTCTTTAACATTTACAAACCGGCTGATGGGCTATTATTATTAACACCGGGTGCGATCTCAGCATGTGTCACCGTTGGAAAATGACTGAAAAACCTACTATATATATATATATATATATATATATATATATATACTCGACTCTCCCGTCGAATCGGACGTATCAGGGTCAAGCAGATCAGCTCCTAGGAAACCGACAGCACACGAGATTTCATTGTCGTGGTGAAGATTTCGTGCAGGACCATTCACACTTTTTAAAGGGCCGAATACAGAGATCTGGTGCACTACGAGCCACAAGGGCCCCAAACGATCCTCCGCAGGTTTTGAAGTCAGAGTTGTCCTTCTCCTAGACCAGTTGCCATTCATGTTTATAGAACCTAGTCAGTCCTGCTATTAACCCATAGCTGGAGGGAGAGGAAGAGGATTCATACATTTCCCAAGGGTATTAGCACGTAAGTGAATGTAATGGATTCGACTGGAATTCGAACTCGGTTCTCCGATTTCTCAATCCAAGCCATTCATTACTCCACCGTGCCTCCTTTTATATATATATATATATATATATATATATATATATATATATATATATATATATATATATATATATATATATATATATATATATATATATATATATATATATATATATATATATATATACTAACATGCAGGAAATTTTTCTTTTAATGATAGCCATGCTGGCCGAAACTACTCAAGGAGCCTAATTGAAATAATAACCAGTGTGTCTGAAAATTTTTTTACATACTTTATTTTTCAAAACCACAGATAGATAGATAGATAGATAGATAGATAGATAGATAATAAGGTCGAAATTATACATCTAAAATCAACTTTTGAAAAAAATACTCCACGCTAAAATTTACATATGAATTCATGATACCAAAATCCGATTCCCTGATGGTGATATAGATCTAAAATTTAAAGAATTTACCACTTACCATATTTTTAAAAAATCACCAGTACGATCTCTTGTCTTCTAAATTATGATAGCCAATGCCCAGAAATATATAAAATAGCAGTGATAACAAACTTCTTAAACAGACCGAACCTGATTTCCTCTTCTAAGAGAATTTTTCTGGGCGAACTAAAACAAATATTAGTCAACAAGCTACATCATTGATAAACAAATAAAATTATTCTTACAAAAAATACGATACAATAAAACATCAACATATTTTACTGCAACCAGATGCACAATAATTTTAAGCAGGACAAATTCGCTATAAGAAGAATCATTCAACACCATACTTCCGCTGTAATTCAAGAAAAACATGTAAAATTTATAATACAGGGTGTCCATAAAGTTCGTGTGCACTTTAAAAATTCATAACTTTATTTGTATTTGCGACAGAAATGATCTGTAAGACGTTATAAAGTTTAATGTACCTAGTTTTAAGTATAGCTAAAATAACTAATGTGATTTCAAGCTTTACTGTAAATCAGTTGGCAAATGTTTTCCGTTTACTGCAAAATCGTATTACCCTTTGTATTGCTAATGATGGAGGACATGTGGAAACTTAAATAAAATATCAATAAAACCTTAAAAAAAATTACTTCTTTCTAATCCTCTTTACAAATGAGTTCTATCGCAAATACAAAAAAATTATAATTTTGTTAAAGTTCACAGGAACTTTATAGACACCCTGTATATTACAGAATAGGCGAGACCGCAAACCTTGTTGTAACATCAAAATAGCCCTATCAAATTTAAACTAACGATGACCAATATAGTGTATCAATTTCTTGTCACAAATCAATTACCGGACATATTACCACCTCCTTGAGTAGACGCTTCACGTGTCACTTATCAGAGCAAAGTGCTATAAAAAAATCATTCCATAATTTACAAAAACCTTAAGAAAAATTCTTGTCGAAAACACTAA